ATTACGATTACCAGCATCTCCTCTTCTACTATTTTCTTGTTGTGTTAATAAATCTAGGCTTTCCAAACGATTATCAGTTTTAATTCTGTTAACGTAGTCAATAACTAAGTTATCAGATATTATTCCGCTAAGTTTGGAACGCAAATCTATGCGATCTATAACAAACAAAATCTGTATTTTCTCCACGTACCAACACTTGTAAATAACCAGCAATATCTAAATTTCCGAATAGGTTTTTAGTTTTTATATTTCAAATAATTCCCTTATCATTTGTTTCGTATAAATCAAAGATTGTGTGAGGTTGATATCCGTTTTGTAATCCTAAATTTTCGATATTATCATCAGCAATTGCACCATTTGCTCTATATACTCGCTGTCCTTCTGGAATATTGCCAACAAACAAAGTATAAATAAAATCTTTTCTAAATATATTAATTCTATCTGAATTGTCACTCTTGTTATCATCCCAATTGGTGTTGGTACGCCAATAGCTATGTTAACAACAGAACCTAATGCATTACCAGCATATAAGTTGTATTCTGGGTGAACATGGTACATCTTGCTCTTCCTCTGTTAGTAGTAGATAGTGGTAGATATCGCAAGATTTCTGTCATTATATATATATATATATAAATAAATATAAATATATATATATATATAAATATATATATATATATATATATATATATAATACATCTTTTTTATCTCTAATAAAAAAATTCAATTAAATAAATAATATTACTATATACATATAATGCTGAAATTGTGAGACATTGCCAAAAGAACATTATCAAATCCGATAGAATTGCTTCGGCATTTTCAGGTTATGTTAATACTTATAAACTTGATGATCAAAATGTTTTAGCTAATTTGACATCTACAAATTCATATAATTTATTACAACTCGTTATAGCTCGAGAACTTGCAGCTTATAAAAAGTATCAAACTCATAGTCCAATATCAAACGAGTTTATCAAAGGTGCATATTTATTTATATTTATATGTTTTGTAAATTTTTTTATAGCTCATCAAATAATATATCGACCATATTGTCAAAAAATGTCATCACATCATCTGTCCATCTGCTATTCTCATATCATTTTCATTGCGAATAGCCACACAGACCCATATTTCGGCGATGTATGACAATCCACTGTTTTTAATGCAGTCGCTTATTATTTTAGGTTTTATACCAGTATATGCTGACGCTGCTTTAATCAAATTAAATCTTTTACAAAATCTATTTGTTATATCGAATCCGACATGCCTGATTGAATAGCAGAAGGACATTATATATATTTTATTTGTTTAATATAACCTGTTAACCAATAAGTATATAGTAGTAGAGAGGATTTATGTATCCTAGCTCAGAGACACCTCGGCCACTAAACATATTTTTGTCAGAAAATGTGTTATCATTTTGAGCTAACAAAAGTTGCTTACAAAAATGTTAACGTCCTTTTTTTGCGGAGAGGCGTAGGTGTGTGTGTGTGTGTGTGTGTGCGTGTGTGTGTCTTAGAAAGGATCATCAATTCCTCTCTACTACTAATGTATTTCCGTCTTTGAAATCTTTGCCTTGATACAACAGAGATCCACTCGCTTCTTGAGGATGTACTTTCAAGGTGTAGCATGGAAACAAGACGTCTTGCATTTTTGCTTTTCAGGAGTGCCACAGATTGCGTCGTTAGATATGGCAGCTTGCTTTAACAGGAGTTCTGCTTCTTCTCGTTTTTTTTTTGTTTACTAGGCCCGACCATTAATTAGATTTTTAGGCTTTTTCCCCATTCTACCGTGTAGTTCTTGTCGTTATATCTTCGTCTTACCACAATGGCCCAGGCTAAATACATCTTGTCTTGATTGTTATTAATTTGGATGATGCTTGAGGTCATCCACCAATAGCAACGTTTTGAGCGCTGTCCCTTTGCGAAGAGAAACGTGGGCCATGTCCAGTGTCGCTTTTCAATCGGTGATGTGAAACTTGTCGTTGGACTGTTGCACGTGTTGAATCTTGTCAATGACGCTGGAAGATGTCGATTCTGCTGCCCTGCTAATTTCGTTCCAAATGGGGGACTTCAGACTGTTATGATATATGGAGAGTGTCAAGAGATCTTCTTTGACTTCACATTGTCGCTTCAGAGTGGCTAACAAAGAGTCCATTATATCGGGAATGAACTCTTCTTCTTTCTACAGCGGTACGCCGGACTTGAAATCTATAAACTTCACCATGTATGTGAAGGCCGGGTTTCTAAATTTTTTTTTCTAGGGTAGCGCTTTTCCGTCTCTCGAATGTGATAGTACTTTTCAGCGGTTACTGATGATAAACTTTGGTTTGACTCAGACTATCTGGGTCTGGATTCTGTCTCAGTTATGACATCTTCAAAATCTTCCGCATAGATTTGAACTAAGACTTCAACTACTGTGTGAGGTGATAGGTCACGTTTCTGCCTCGCACTTTCTTCTGCTTTTTCTACGAAATGATGAAATCGTTTCATATTAAGTGAAAAAGGTAAATTGACTACATTTTAAACGCCATAGTCCCCTTTATATCAATGTAAGGGCAATGTCTTCCCTATATAAAGGGTTAGTGTCTTCCCTCAAAGTAGTCATTTGACTATCAACCTGACCAGAAAGATGGAAGAGCCAAAACAGATCGAACTTCTGATGATAGCATTGCCCGATGTCATACGAAGGTTTTCGTTAGAGAAGCCGACGGACTTCTACCACTACTTTCGAGATAAAATCTAGATACTTGCTTTATCTCTGAAAAGAAAGGGCGTTGATCTTCAGAATGTCCACAACGTCAATACTTCAGAACGGGAAGAAGATGAAGAACCCAGACACGTCCAGAAAGAGAATAAAAGAAGACTAGTAGAAAGGGAGGACGAAGAAGATGAAAAACCTGTGACAGTAAAGAAATTCAAAATAAGGAGAGAGTAAAAAGACAAAGAAGAAAAATCAACTTTTGAAAGTGATGTGTTGTGAAATTGAATTGGAAATTTGTACCAGAGATTATACCATAAAGGAAACACGCATGTATCTCATGGTTTTGATTTTTATAATAAGGAACAACTCACCCACTCACACACGTCCATCATGGGGAAAATATATCTTGAGGTTTTAATTCATTTTGACAAAAGAGGTGAGTGACCTCTGAAAAGGACCGTTGGGTGTTTTTTTTTTTTTTTAAAAAAAACAATAACTCAGGAATGGGAAGTAATGAGCTATCTCTATCCCACTGCCACGACCTACTTCTGGGCCTGCTACTGTAGGTGATTTGGTAGAGATCACTAGGATTAGTATCTCAGGCATACTAATTATGTGGACAGGGTTCTACTGTTTTGGCTTGGGATGTTCTTTTTCTCCTGGGTCGTATTAAAGAAGTCCGATACATTTGTTTCAGACTCCATAACTTTGCCAAAATGTCTAAGAGTACCGTCATCGTTTGACTTTCACCGTCCACTTTCTCTCTTAGACCTTGTTTATTCTCTGCTTCTTCTTGTTCTTCCTGTCGTTGTCTTCTTTTTGCTTCTTCTTCTCGCTTTGCTGTTAAATGAGAAAAGCTTCTTTATCCTGTTGCAAAAATGTCTCAAATTCTTCTTTCTGTCTCTGTTCAAAATCAGCGACTTAGGGTACCGGAAGAAGAACGTGGTTAAGAGGCTGGTACCGGAACAAATTATTGTGCAAAATAGAGAGTTAATCCACTAAATCTCAATTAAAATCGTTCTCTTATGGAAGTATATCTGTGTTTGCTTTGGTAATCTCTGTTATACCATCACTTCTCGTTTCCATAACCGGTGCACACCAATTCATCGTCTACTTTGTTTCCGTCGTTTTAACTCTGTCGCATTGATTCACTGCGCACAGACACTAGCGCAACTATGTAGGAAATGTTACGTCACAGGCAGCTCTCTTTGGATTGGAAGACAGATCTACTAATACTACTAATACTACTACAATTACTTGCACTACTACTACAACAACAACTACTACTACTACTACTACTACTACTACAAATGATAATAATAATAATAATAATAATAATAATAATAATAATAATAATAATAATAATAATAATAATAAATAAACAAATAAATAAATAAATAAATAAATAAATAAATAAATAAATAAATAAATAAATTATTGCAAGGAAAACGTCCGAGAGTAATTAAATGGGCTATAATTGTCATAAAGATTTACATACGGGTTATAAATTGACTCCTGACAGAAAGTTTGGCAGGAAAGCATTTGGACGGTTAATTGATACATTTTTCTTTTCATTTGTACCATATCCCTCGTGGGTTTTCAGTTGCAGATATTCAGTGTCATTCTTATCGGTTGCGTTTTATATCGGTCCAGCATGAGTTTGATTTAGTTGGTAATATATGGAGGGTCTCTGCTGGATGATTTCATGGAAATATATTACAAAAACACCCAACAAAACAATTTCTTATTTTGTAGTGATTCTATACATATAACATTTGATTATTTCACACATTTTGGTGGAATTACTTGCTTAAATTGATTTGATTTCTTTATAATCCCCGTTGTTCCTAGTGTTAAACAGGGTACAAAAGAAACTTTGATTTTTTTAAATAATACCATATTTATGCCAAATAAATATCATTACTCATGCCTGTCGTGGTCATAGTCTACGTGATACCTACTGTTCTGGTGCCCAGATTTTCTATAACACAAGGCAGAATGGCTTTGTCTCCCTTTAGAAACGTCACGTTGGTTGATGTAGCATGAAACCAGGGTATTTTCTCTCCCCCAGAACCTGGAAATAATAACACCATTTATTATACTTAAAACTACTCAGATAAGCGATATAGTTGTGATACATACATACATACATACATACATACATACATACATACATACATACATACATACATACATACATACATACATACATACATACATACATACATACATACATACATACATACATACATACATACATACATACATACATACATACATACATACACGCACTCAGCGCTTCTGTGGCCTAGGGGTTAGAGCGTCCGCCTCAGATGTGGGAATTCGCGGGTTCGAACTCCGGCCGAGTCATTAAAAAAAGGGCATTAACAGCTGCCTAGCTTGGTGCTCAGCATTAAGAGATTTGTGTTAGGACTGGTTGGTCTGGTGTCAGGATAATGTGACTGAGTGGGACATCATAAGCCATGTTTGCGGCATGATGCTCCAGCGCTAGAGATTAGAAATAACTTCTTATCTGGTTAACAACCTACAGTAAAAATTACTTTAATGTTGGATAATTTCGATTCTATAGATAAGTATTTACTACAACTATTTTATACAAATCTATATTTGCATGATTATCTGTGCGTTTTTAAAAAGTCAATGGGAAAGGAGAAAGAACAATTATTCCCCAGGCCTTATCATAATTGGTCTAGTATTGATTCAAATACGGGTCCTGATCAAACAATGGAATGATCCATGGACTTCCTTATACGTGGCGTCAGTAGTATGGATTACTGGATATTTATGACTCTATTTGTCACAACGGAATATGCTTATATTTCTTCAAATTACAAACCGGAAACTAATCTGGTTGATGTGTCTTTAGTTTGCATCATATATGTACTTTGGGAGAAATAAATAATTTACTTTGGATCACTGTATGGAGACAAAACTGATACACAAATTATTTCACCTCTTTCTCCTCTCCCCGCACTACGTGTGTGTGTGTGTGTGTATGTGTGTGTGTGTGTTTAATACCTACATGCCCTAATTTATCTCTTCTGTTCTGCTTTACATTTAACTGTTTGGACCCCAATCGCTGGTCGATAAAATTATTTTACCAGTTTTAAATGTAAAAGTATATAACCTAATGTTTGGCGCTAAATAGCCACATAGTGCTGGTGCGCCATAAAAATATAAATCAATCAATCAATCTTCTGTTCGTTAGTCATTCTGTTTATCTATGTATCTATCTATCTGCCTTTTGGAATATAAGTGTTTCTTTCACAATTGCAATAAGTGTTTGGTATAATATACAAGTTGGACGTTTGTAAGATGTTCGCACTATACTTAGCAACAATTGGTTTGTACAATGGGAACCAATTCTAATGCGAAATAACTGCTTATATAGACTAGGGAATCAATGTCTCTACTCAATATATTGCATTTAAACCTGGAAATCAAAGCATATGCGAAATATGTGGCATATAAGCATGACAATCAATGCATATGCGAAATATATGGCATATAAGCCGTGAAATCAATGCCTATGCAAAAAATACGCATACGTCGAAGTGGAAGTCAATTTCTATGCGAAATATATGTCATATGAGGTAAGAGGCATACCATTTCACAAAATAAATGTAGATGAACCTTTTTTTCTTGTGTTTCATTTAATTCTGGATATACTACATGGAAACATTATTTATGCATGCAGCTGCTTTGCCTGTATTACTGACCACTAAAGACTAAATTCTGGACATAGCATGTCAATTGGTCAGTCACCCATAAAGGACAAGAAAAACTGATTGATTGGTTATAGGGACAGAACGTTTAACAAATTTGTGTATTGACAGCTTAATGGTACCTACGCATATGGGTGAGCTAGACCTATACAGAACAATTAGAAACATCACTGGAAATTAAGAAATTATGTAATTAGTATACATAGTAAATCGTTTGAAACTTAATTTAAGGCATTTTCGTTCACGATTCTAAATAAATGCTACTTTATGTTCGTTGAGAATATATTTTCATGTTATTACAGTAGTATAGCAAGTAAGAGTCGAAATACTTTGATGCTTATTTAAATTTTACTATCTTGACATTGATTGCAAACTAGTACGTGCTTTTTGTAATTTCGGAGTTCAAGATATTGTTGTTCAGTACAACGTTTTTTTGTTTGAAGTCTTGAAAAAGTAATGTATATATATATATATATATATATATATATATATATATATATATATATATATATATAATCACTCGTCATCACTTACTTAATAACCCTTTCCATTAAGTTTGCATTAAATTTTCTTTTTTTTTAACACAGTGTCCCATTGTCAGCATTGGGTCTTAACTTCAAGACGATAACCATGATGTTAATTCCCGTTGACGCAGTTTGGTACAATTTGACGCTGCGGTGACCGCTAACCACTATCAGAGGCGGTCGTGATATTAATTCTCTTTGACGCAGTATGGACCCATTCGACGTTGTGATAATACTCATTACTAGTGGTATAGTATTTCTAGGATGGCGTGAGAATAGGGAAGCACTGCACACACAAACACACATACAAGCACACACACACACACTTTTTATGTTTAAAGTTTTGCCCATTTATTTTGTTTTCGTACATAGCCGTATAAAGAACTCTGGTCTAAAACTCATTAGTGCGATTCACACAGTTTATATTTTCTTCTTTATTGTGTCAGTGAATATCCATTTAAAATTCTTCAAGAAACACTCTAACCATCTTTATAAATCATTACACAAGTAATAGTTTTAGCTGATTGCTCCTCCCCCGCCATCGTTTCTACGACAGTCAACTACAACTTCACTGTTTTCATGGTTGTACATATTGTGGTCCGACTGTACCAAGTTATTTACTTAAACTGGAATAGTACATCTGAAGAGAATGTTATTTTTTCTCAGATTACTTTCGTCTCAGTACTCTATTTAATTCAGAATAGAAAAATACGACTATAGACATAGACCCGAAGCTAATCTAATCGCGAGGCGAAAGAGGCTATTATCTAACTTTTAATCAATTCAAAATTTAACTTGATAATTTCAGTGCCATATAAAGTCGAACTTGTTTTCGGTTAACACTATTTTTCCATCTTTTTCTAGCAGCATTATTGATTATATACAAAACATAGGATAAGATCGTACTCCCCTCGTTGTTGGTGTAAACCATCATTTTGTCTTAAGGCCAAACTGTATACCATATCAACCCAATTTATACCTATGAATCATACACCAAATTAAAGGGAAAAAAAACTTAAGGTTTGTTTTAAATAGCCAGTATAATCAGTGCAGAAAATCTGGGAAATTCTTTACCTTTAAAACATTCTAACCAAGTACATACAAGTTCCTTAAGAATTAAGTTATTTCATTTCAGAAGCAATAAATGAAAGACAATGTGAATAGTATTGACTTCTCAAACTTTTCAATTTTGGGAGATTTCTTGAAGACTTCTGGACAGTGATGTAATAAGGGTAAGCTGATTATGATGGCCCATAGCTGTTCTGGCACTCGTGCTACAAGACCTCTGGTGCCCTGGCAACCGCACCTCCCGCTACCGCCTCTCTTAGTAGCTACTGCTTTTGGATGCTGTTTATGTTTTCTTTCTTCAGTTTTACCTTGTACGCTCATATACACTTAATGATTTTTAATGTTTCTCTATTTGAACGTCATTCCATGTTAAGAATATATTTAATGAGCACATGGACATCTTCCCATCACATACATACATTTATATTTTCAGGTCAAAATCGTTACATTTTATCCTTCCAATAAGCTAAATCTTTGGATGCTGAAATATAACTTGTGGACTTGTGGAAGATCACACCCACCCACACCCACACACACCCACACCCACACACCCACACACGAGTTCTTAGATGTTTAAACAAATATTTGTACCAGGAAAATAGCAATAGAGAGTATTATCTTTTCAAGAAGATTTCATTTCATTATGTCATACTCAGTTATTCCTGATAACTGAGAAATGTATTAGTGGAACACATATCCACCGTCACAGCACACCAAAAGACTAGACTTGATCGGTTTGACGTACTCGTACGATAAGATCAATATTTTACGCCTTTTCCACGTTCTTAGAGGGACATAACAACTTCATCAATGAGTAACCACGTTATATTATGGGCTAGGCGGGTAAAGGCGTAGAAATGAAGCGATGCATATAAAATACTTAAACTGACAGATCGTAAAACTCAAAGAATTTCTTAGTATAGTTCCATTGTTATATTAGGTACACTTGTCTTTTGATACAGGGTTCGGGAATGTATCACTCTGCTAGCTTTCCTATTTTCTGAGGCTTGTTTTAGAAAGCAGTACACCTTGTCAGAAAACATTTCAACATTGCACTGAGTGTAATATCTCATAGAACATTTTCCCCTAGCAGTAAATAAACCAATTCATCTCTTGAATTGGAGGTAAATCTATTTGCTATATGGAAAAAGCAAACTTTATTTTCTGGGTTATTTCCCGTTAACATAATAAAATTGTAAGGTCAATCGGATTCTCCATGGTCTATGATGTGGTGACCTTTGGAATTCCCAGACGACTTGGTGTTGGTAGCCCATCAGATGTAAAGCTGCAAATTCGTGTTAGGGGAGTAATTTTTGGTAGCAATATGTTCAGAATGACTGTCATTTTCAGAAATTTGACGGTTGTGATTTGATTTGTTGAACCACAAGGGCAACAAAACATGCAATGAGTTACCTAAATGTGTGAGGTAAAATGTTGATACATATATATCAACACAATGTCGAGTTTCATTGCCGTGTACAGCGTTCCCGAGGGTGGTTTAATTAGGTGTGATTATTTCAAAATACCGAGTTTGTTGACCCATTGATGGTGCTTGCAATGAAAAATTATATCACCTCGAGTACTCCGTCAGTAGACTTTCATCACAATCAGGGTACTTACAAAATAATTTATCTTTTATTTTATATTTTTGCCTGAAGCTGTCCAGGTTGCGGATGGTGCCTTACCAACAAAAGTTATGAACGGCGAACTACCTTATAGCGGTCTCTGCTCAATCAAATCAGGTACTGATTATATGTTGACAAATAAACATTAATCTTGATGATGAAAAAGCAAATATTATGTAAGGCAAATTACCTTACAGCAGGCTCTACCCAACCGAACATGGTTTTGACAGTATATAGAAAAAGACGTACACCACTAGCATTTAAGGATAGCAGCTTGAACAAAACCAAAACTTTCATGAAAAATCAAAAAGCTTGTAGGCAAAATATGATATTACAACGGACTCCATAAACAAGCCAGATACTGATTGTGTTTTGAAAAAGAAGCACACATTCAACCTTTAAGATATGTGAAATCTAAAATAACATTCTTTCTTACTATCCGTTTTATGGTGAAAGAATTGTTATATATTGGATGTTTAAAAATTTATTGTAAATTTTAGAGTGTGGGATTTATGTATCAGAATGCCCTGCTATGACTATAGTCTGTTTCAAGTGAGTCATTTTATCACTGAACAGACATATTGAATTAAGTGATATATTGCATGTATTAAAAAACGTATAATGTTTGCGTTCTTATTAATCAGTGAGATTGTTCTTATCGATACACATTAATGTACGAATGTGGTTATTAAAATGATACTAATTTCTCACAGTATTTCTGATGAAATGATTTAATATGTATCGAACCCTTTTCGTATGTACGGAAGCGTAATGTACTTCATTGTGCTTGTACTTATCATGCACTACATGGCTCAGTCTTTATATTTATAGCTTATAGGAAGAGGTAGAACTATGAAGTTTCGTGTAAACCGGATGCTTGGATGAGTTGTGACGTTAGTGAGGAGGGCGGCATTTGTTACTCGCACTGAGACACTTGAGATTCGGGAATAAGGGGGTTGTTCAGCGATCGATCGGAGGACTAGGAATAGAGGGTCATGACGTGGTGGCTCCTTAACCATCCCGAGGAGAGCTTTGGAATTGTAAATGCATCACGATCGTCACAGTGATGCCACTAGACACATGTATTCTTTTTCATCAATATTATCAAATTTCACACTGATTGAAATCAATAATACATGCATCGTGGATTTAAAATTCTTTATTCATACTTTTATAAAAATTGCATATATTGGTCACCCATGGTGATACAATCATACATTGTTCCTATTTGTGTGCAAATTTTACAGACTGGACTGTTCGCGATAGTTCTATATATCAATCATATTTATCAAGTTCGATACGTTGGTTCTTGTTGATAACTCGTTGAATCTGCGTGCTCTGATTATATCCATAGGGATATGGATACCCGATTAGGTCCATAGGGTTGTGGATACGTGATTAGGTCCATACAGGTGTTGATACCCGATTAGTGGTGTGAATATCCGATTAGGTCCATAAGGGTGTTGATATGTGATTAGGTCCACAGGGGTTTGGATATCTGATTAGATCATTTTGAGAGTTAATATCTAATTAGGTCTATAATGGTGTGAATATGTGATTAGTTTAATAGGGTTGTGAATATGTGATTAGGTTAATAGAGGTGTGAATTTTTTATTAGGTCCATAGTTATGTGGATAACTGAATAGGTTTAGAGGGCTGTTGACATTTGATTATGTGCATAGAGGTGTGGTTGTCTGATTAGTTCATTGGGGTGTAGATATATGATTTTAATCATACTGGCGGTAGCTGAAAGTATAATACTTCTGTTCGCGCGAATTATGTTGAACATAACCAAATTTACTAAAAATATTTCGAAAAATATTTCTTATTTAACCAGTTTATGATCTTCGAATCAATATAATGAATCTGACAGTTTTCTTTATATTTACATCGTTGCCATTAACGGTACTTGTACATCTGGTGATTATAATAATAATAATAATAATAATAATAATAATAATAATAATAATAATAATAATAATAGATAGATAGATAGATAGATAGATAGATAGATAGATAGACAGATAAATAGATAGATAGACAGACAGACAGACAGACAGACAGATAGATAGATAGATAGATAGATAGATAGATAGATAGATAGATAGATAGATAGACAGACAGACAGACAGATAGACAGATATATAGACAGACAGACAGACAGACAGACAGATAGATAGATAGATAGATAGATAGATAGATAGATAGATAGATAGATAGATAGATAGATAGATAGATAGACAGACAGACAGACAGACAGACAGATAGATAGATAGATAGATAGACAGACAGACAGACAGACAGATAGATAGATAGATAGATAGATAGATAGATAGATAGATAGCCAGACAGACAGACAGACAGACAGACAGACAGATAGATAGATAGATAGATAGATAGATAGATAGATAGATAGATAGATAGATAGATAGATAGATAGATAGATAGATAGATAGATAGATAGATAGATCGATAGTAGTTATAATATAGACCACTGGCCCGTGTTGCATATCAATACATATTGCTGTACAAAAAAAGGTTTTAGTGCGTAATAAAAGAATATTTTATTTATTGGAAGAGTTATGAATGAAAGAAATTAGTATTCCGTTTTTATAATTAGATAAAATGCTAATATATATGATACACATTATTCACACAAACCAGAAACTAATTTAAAAAAAATCCTGAAGTCGGCAGGGAGCAATATTTTATCATTATTGATTTGGAGTCTTATGCAGCAGAAGCGGATGATATAATGGTTTCTGGAAACTTTGTTGCTTTTAAACTAAACATTTCCAAATTAGTCATTAAAATTTTTACAAAACATCGCTTTGAATAAAAGTATTTTTTTCGAAAGTTGGATTTTTACATACAATGGTGGGTAAATATTCTCTTCGTAAACTCCATATAGCAGTCAAGCAGTAATAAAAGTAATTCATTTTCGATGTTAACGTTACAAATTTGACAGAATCATTCTCGATTGCAAATATTTTCATATCTTCCTGTTACCTCTGATTGGCAAAATTCCCGACTCCTCATATAGTTAATACGTGATAAAATTCGATGTATCCTAATAATTCTAGATAATTTTGACAAGTGAATTACATTCTAAATAACCTATTGAAACGCAGTTTTTCCATGGATTTAGTCTCATTCTGCAGCTTTTGCCTAAAATATCTTCACATCTCTGACTGAACAATCCAACAAATGTACTTTCGTCATGAGTAAACCAAACATTGCTAACCCCAAAATAAATCGAAGCTTTTTAACATTGTCAGCCCATCATTCACTATTCCCTCCATCCATCGTAACATTAAAATTGTGACATTGTTTACGATATTTGTTTTCTGACATATTTAAAACTCTTAGCCAATATTTCAATATATGTTTAGATTTTAATTACACACTTATTCTTCCTAATTTTTTGAATAATACAATTGCATTTGAAGTTGAATTAAATATACCAATAATATATATTTACAAACTGACAAATGGACCTTTCCGATATCTTTGGCATCGTAAAACCACCAAACCGCACGCTCATTGTTACGGAAGAATCAAACAGTCAAACATGCGAACACACCCAGTTACGGGTAATTTGCCAAACTTTGAAAGATTTTGCTTAGTATATATGTATTGCCTTTAGCGCTTGTTAGGGTAGCGTTATCTGCACACACACAAGGAGTTTGTGTAGAAGAAAGTAGGCATCTAAGATACTTATAACATGACCCAATCTTTACCTCTGTATGGCGATAGTACCACTTGTTTTAACTTCTGAGATAGCCACCTCTGCAAAATACAATCACTTTTTTTTCCATATTGACTTCCACTTTAGGCTATAGCATAGATTGTAACGGGTGGGCAGTGTCATCAAAGGCAATTTCAGTCTGCATTATACAGTAAAAAAAAAAAAACATTTTATGTTTCTATTTAGACTTTATTGTTTCCTTCAGCTAAAACTCATGTTAAATCGTTCAGAATAAAGAAAATAATACAGGCGATAAAATATAACCTTGGCGTACGCCCAAAGTACAATTCAACACATCGATTAAAAGATTGTTGGACTGTTTGCTCTTCGCGTAGTTGTTCGTGTTTGTCCACCCAATAATTTATCATATTATTCAAAATCAATGTAAACAGTCTGCTTAATATGGGCAGTATAATGTCCGCTCCGGTGGCCTAGTTTGTTAGAGAGTACCCATCGGATGCGGGAAGTCGCGGATTCGAACTCCGCACGAATCATGCCAAAGACTTCTGAAAATGGTACTAACAGCTGCCTCGTTTGGCGCTCAGCATTAAGAGGTTAGTATTAGGACTGGTTGGACTGGTGTCAGAATAATATGACTAAGTGGGACATAATGCTACATGTCAGTGGCATGATGCTCCAGTGCCAAACATCGCTATAAACTGTCAAACCGCAGACATGGTAGCGATATGACTGAAAAATCGATATCACTACGTTAAAAGTCTAATCACAGATCACTCACAGGCAGTAGACTTTATGCGTCTGTAACTAGAGGGTTCATTTGTATCTCATTTCTTCAAAATTAGTATATTGATAGCTGCTGACCAATATTCTGGAAAACATCCAACATTAAATAGTTTATTACATAGAATCGTTACTACTGGTGTAATTATGTTGCCCGTACAAATAAAGAAATCGATGGACAAAGCATCTGCTCCCCCTACTTTGATATATTTCAGTTTACTCAATGCAGAGCAAACCTTCTCTTCAGTAATTATTCCACTTAGAGTCTGATTAACTAGTGTATCAGGTCAACATAATTGAAAAAAATAAAATACATCTGAAAAATATTTACACCAAATTGAAGACGTGATACTGCTTGGTGCACCAGTACTCTGATTCGTTATAATACGCCAGAAAATATTTTAGCAGATAATGCTGATAAAATGCCATTTCTTTGTCTTGATTCTTACATGATTTTGCTTGCTTATTCCAAGAAATTTATACAGATTTCTATAGACGTTTTAATATTAAAATTGTTCAGTTGTGCCTTTTAATCTGAACTGTCTTAGATATCTTAAGGTTTTGCTTTTGGCGGTTATGCAATCTCTGTCAAAGCAAGGCTGACATTTTGGAAGATTTCCTGGAGATGTCGCAACTGAGTTTCGCTTTCTGCTGATTGTCTTCATTCTGTTTAATGTATCGAGGTAAATACTACTACTATTACTACTAACTTAATTACAGCACCTAATCGTTGGAAGCTCTAGGCGACTTACATTATTAGATAACACATGAAAAAATATACAACGAGAAGATTAAATACCATGAAATTACAGAACAAGAACATAAGTTTCCAGATGGTGTGTACACTTGGGTGATGTCAGATAGGTATATTGGACTGTATCCAGTCAACAATATTGACATGTGGCCGAAGTGGTTAGAGCGTCCGTCTCAAATGCGGGGGGTCGCGGGTTCGAAATCCGACTGAGTCATACCAAAAACTTATAAAAATTGGTACCAGCAGCTGCCTCGCTCGGCGCTCAGCATTAATACGTTAGTGTTAAAACTGGTCGGCCTGGTGCGAGGATAAAGTGACTGGGTGGGATATGATGTTACATTTCTGCAACATGATACCACAGTGCAAAAATCATGATGCACTGCAACTCTACAGACATAGTAGCAATATGACTAAAATTGTCAACGCTACGCATACAATTCACAGACACAGACAGACAGACACACAAATATGGTATATCATCTAAATATCAGTATGCCTTGTGAGAAATGCAAATACCGCATCCCGTCCAAACTTCCGTACACCATGTGAGAAATGCAAGTACCATATCGCATCCAAACCTCCTCTGAGGGATAATAATGAGGTACACGTAGCAGGTTAAACACCGTCAACTGGTCCATTGAAATCTGTTGTATATAAAAATATGTGAACTTAATTTAGAGGCTCATTTTATTGCAACAAAGATTGACTCTATTTGATTTTATCTGTTTTACAAGCAAGTTTAGGATAAGCAGTCATTCCAACTTGGAATAAACATTAATTCTTTACACACTGCTCCCAAAAACTGGGTCTAAATCTTTTCACAAATTTGTTAATTTCATATTAGTCCAAAACCAACACCGTGCTGTCGATTCGTTGTACCCTTGGTTTATCATAGAATGTATAGTGGCGTCACTGCTATACATTGTTTGAAAACGCACATATTTTTAAAGTTCAGTTGATGATATCTGTGAATGTATGTGTCCATAACAATACAACATATCGTTAATAGTAATAAAGAAATTTAAGTTACATAGAATGCATATTTCTTAATAATTGTATAAAACCTCTCTCCTTGAATGAGCAACGTGTACTTTATCATGGTTCTTCTCTTTATTCATATTGCAATTAAATATATTTTAAAATACTTATTCTTACATAAAACGGATTGCGCAGCACTGATGAACCAGATGAATGAATGCTGCCGATGCAACATCAGATTTCACGAGTCATTGATGCCCTGGTTTTTATGCATATCAGGCTTCTGGGACTTAAATAAAATACACGACTCTGCATCACGTGTATATTGACTGAAAAAGTGCAAACCTTTACGTTCTTCAGTAACACAGAATAGTCGAATTTTCCGAGTAGAGAAACAACCTGGTGTCTTGCATTACTGACTAGTATTGAGTCGGAGTAATAAACTTATCGATGCACGTAATGTAGATTTGTACTTTTCAGCTTCGCATTTAATTGGTGCTTATTATTTATGCATCAATCCAAAAAGTTTATATTTTATGTAATTTCAATTGTTTAACTTCCCTACCTATGGTCATTGCTTTATTCTATATAAATAATATATATTACGCTGAACGATTTGCAAAACATAACAAACATGCAGTAAAATTGTTCCTTTTTCGAAAGAGGGCGGTCAGCTTTGGAGTTAAAGATCAACAAGTTCACCTGCATAACATTAATTTAGTGAAAATTACCAAAAGTCAGGTAGCCCTGAGTGGCCTAGTGGTTTAAAGAACTCGCTTTTGTTGATCACTGTCGTCTAACCTCTGACCGCGTGGGTTCGACTCTAGGATTTATCCAATGAGGCTATTTGAAAAGGCTTGCCACTAGCTTCCCATGAGTCGGTTTTTCTTGTCAGAGTTTTCCCGGATTCTTCCTCTAACAGGCCACCTGTTTTGTGATGAAAAATGGCGTTAAACAACATCAAAATAAAAGTCAGCTATTGATTTTCTTTAGCCTTTGTTTAATAAATTGTATTGCACAAAGCCACACAATTCCCAAAATGTATGTTCCCTAGTTTTCAAAGCTGAATCAGAAGTCTATACATCATATATGGTGGTTGAGCACCAACTTCTCTTGGTTACTAGCACGTGCCTCAATATACTTATTACATTTATCTAAACGTTATTGTTGTTTTAAGTCAGTAAATCTAAGGCAATGATTATGCTTGAGATGTAATAAAGAGTTTTCAATATTTGCAAGCAGGCCTTCACATTTCATGTACGTAACAGACTACAACGGTTTGTCAGAAACGTGGGTAGACTTGGTGATGCAATATGTTAAGACTAATTTAATTTTAGAAAGTCTATACTAAACACGTATAATATTAGTCTGTTTTACAATTTCAAGGTTATATGAAAATTTACGATCGTTTTGTCACTTCATTAAGTAAATGACAGTTGTTGTGCTAGTCAGATTCAGAGTTCAAATTTTCAGCTTTGTTCTTCTGTTTGTGCATGACTTGTTCTGTCTGCAAGAAGACGTTTTCTATTTAAACCCTTTTGACTTATATTGTACTCTTTGGAATATACTAGTAATGTTTACAAGCAAGTAACCAATTACAGTGACAAGTGTTTTACCATTAACGATATGTTTTAACCAGCATTACCGCTGGATTGGTCATAATGGTATTTGTTAGAATTGGAAAGGGTGTGTGTGTGTATGTGTGTGTGTGTGTGTGTGTGATTTGGATCTTTAGCGTAGCTGTAAAAAAATTCAGTCATACAATGTCTGCAGCGTGGCAGTTTATAGTGATGTTTAGCACTGTGGCTTCATGTCGCAGATATGTAGCCTGATGTTCCATCCAGTCACATTATCCTGACACCAGGTTAACCAGGTTCGTTTTGCTGAGCATCTAGCAAAGTAGCTGTTGGTACCATTTTTTATAAGTCATGACTCAAACCCGCGACCTCCCGCATCTGAGGCGGCTGCTCTAACCACTAGGCCGCCGGAGCAGTCAGGAATGGAAGGCACGTCTAATGTTGTCGGGGTTGTTTCCTTTAATTGCTTTAAGCTAATTGGACGGTCGCTAGGACAAAGCCGAAATTAATGGGGATTTTCCCGATTGAATTCCTGTGAATTCTACAGCTTTTCAATCTAATAATATATTTAAAATTTTCTGTCAACAATTATGTATTGTTTATATATAAGGATATAATATATTTATTTATAAGGATGATGTTTAAAAAAGGCAAATCATAACATTGACTCTTTATTATATCCTGATTATGAAAGAATGAAATATGTACGTTACTACCTTAAAAGTACAGTTTAGAACAAAAGGACCGTTAGTGAAAAAATAAATGTTAACTGTATGGAAAAAAAATAAGTTGCGACTAACGACACGCATAAAGATATGTCCATGAAAAAAAACCCATGTCTTTTTACTCTGGGTCTAAATTTATCTCTAGGTAAGTAGCAATACTTTATGACATGAATATTTTTTATTTTATATTTTAATATGACATTGCTGGTAATCCAATGGTTAAATGGGTCAAGCGATAAAAAATACAACAGTTCGGTAAATGTAGGAAGTCCATTTTGTACGGTATAAACGGTACTTGATTTTTAATACCTACATATAGCAAGGCGCTAGCAAAGGAGTTTGAAAATATGTGACACAGCCACTATATGTGCGAAGAACTAAAAAGGAAAGCACTGGATAGGCGATTGAAGTATCAGAAACGGTGCGGAAAGAAAACGAAAGACAAAATTGTTTGACAAATACGTTTTTGTAGATACATTTGAGGATAGTTTCAGCGCCAAGTCTTGCAGTAGAGTTAAATATATCCCCAGCTGAGCATTGGTTTGATTAAATTACATAAAATAAAGAAAACTATGAGTAGAAGTGAATCATTTAGTTTTAAAAATCTGATAATAATGTCTGGAAAGCTGCAGACGAAGACTCGTGGCTAGATTGCACATTGCCTTGGCCATTAGACTGGATAATATTATCAAATGATTTCACAGGAGGTCTGGTATTTACAACATTCTCTTAAAACCAGTTACGTAGAAAAAGTTCAATTTTATTTGATTAAGAACAGTTATCTTTAAAAACATAAAGGATGAAAATCATTGTTCGATAAAACCTTTTACTGACTTTGATAAAGAGAACAATTGAAACTATCAAAAAGTCTCTTTGAAAAACGTTTGTTTTCTGTCGTAACTTGCGAAGGCTGGTTGTGGAGTAGGAGATATCCGAAATTAATTTTCAAATGTTCCCCGAGTGGCCTAGCGGTCTAAAGCGCTGTCCGTTACGGATCACTGCCATCTCACCTCTGTCTGCGTGGGTTCGAGTCTAGGATTCGGCGAATGTGGATATGTGAAAAAGCTTGACAGTAGCTTCTCGTGGGTCGGTGGTTCCTTTCCGGTGATTTCCCGGTTTCTTCCTCCACCATTAATACTGGCCGCCATGAATAGCCTATCGTGTGCTGAAAAATGGCGTTAAGCCCAACAACAACCAAAATTATATCTTTCTTACCTCAATGGAATAATGTACTATTGAGCCTAAAATGTATTTTGCAAGATGCATGCTATTATCTGTTTTGAATATATATATATATATAAATATATATATATATGTGTGTGTGTGTGTGTGTATGTGTGTGTGTGTGTGTGTGTTTGAACAGCGTGGTATTGAATTCATTTATGGAGTGTTTTATTACATGTCACTGTTTTTCTGGAAGTGTCAATGGGCAGAAGCCTAGACAAAATAGAACTCCGTTATACATTCCTTGAAATAAACAGTAATCGTTAGCCCAGCAATGTTTCATTATAAATATATCACATTTCTCTGATGAAATATTGCGCAAAATTAAAAAAATGTCGACCAATGTAGAAAGGAAAAAGAAGAAATAAAATCCATCATCAGCTCATGACACTAATAGCAAACCATAGCTTCATCTATAATCTTATTCTTTGGATGCAATATTGTATCACAAATAGATGCACGTATTATCGTAAAGACTTAGTTTGAAGCACAATGCATAACAATCCAAAAACATTTTTTTAATTGAAAGGTTCGTTACTTGGTTTTGTCTCTCAGCTTACCAAAGGCACGGACGTTTATAAGCGGAGGTTGGAAATCAAATGTGATTAGAAGCTGTGAAATTACAATACAGAATGTCAAGCGTATATTAGCACACATGAATAGATAGCGATACTCGTTGTTTTCTTATTTCCCAACATGCATTGCCAAAAT